GGACGTGTGGCCGGGCTCTTGTGCGTGTGATGTCGTGTCTGGGGTGCGAAGGACGTGTGGCCGGGCTCTGGGCTCTTGTCTCTCCCCCAGTTCAGCGGTGCCGCTGTGGGAGACGTGTGCTTGTACAGGTGTCAGGAAACATTGTCGCCTGCTGGCGACACAAACCAGCTGCCGGCAGGTCAGGAGTGAGAAAGTCATGAACAGCGGTTACATTTTAATTCCCAACTGTGTGTCTTACTCAGCACCATGGGCCGTGTATCTCAATAGTTCACATCCCTTACTTCCTCCGAACACGTTGCTTTTTTTAGGGTCTTCTCATTGCCCTGACGGTGTTTGTTTTTCACAACTGAGAGCAGCCCCGTCTAAAATCGGAGATTAAAAGAGTACCGGCGAGCTCTGTAATGTCTCCGCCAGGCCCTTTATTTGCAGGGTTGGTAACAACGTTTCTGTGTTTGTCCGGACGCCTTTCTGATGAACTTCCAGACCAGCGCGCCGGTGTAACGAGCAGTGTCAGCTGTACCGCTCTTCCGAGGTTTAGTTTGACATTTCCAGGAGAACTGTAAGCAGAGGATACTGATTTCAAAATGTATAAAAAATAAGCGTGCGTCTTTTTTACCTCCGCACACTTCTTTGCGTCTTTTAGCGAGCTGCGGGTCAGCGAGCCCCACGGACACCGGAGCGGCTTAGTTCGGAAGCCCGTAACTCCCGAGCTCCTGAGTGGCCGGACAGCCTTCTGTCGAGTCTCATCCCTGTCGCAGTTATATCGAGGGAAGGAAGGATATGTCGAGAAGTAATATCATGTAGTGCAGAGGTGATGCCCTCGCGTTGTTGTACACGCACGGAGTCCCGGGGTTGCACTTAACCAGCACCTGTGAGTCTCGGTGAAACAGAACAGACGAAAGGAATCTTGCCCGAGTTCTCTGAACGGTATTCACTTCCTGAAGACAAGATACCGGTAAAGGAGGGTGCGTCGTGCTGGCAGTTTTCACTGCCTGTTTGTCCCTGCTTTTCCCCTCTGTGTGTGCAGTCACCGTTGCACCTATTATGTAGGTGCAGCATGTTGAACAAAAGTATTTTTTTTTTCTCAAGAACCTAATATTGTATTTAAAATGCCAGGCTGCAGCAGAAGCCTCGATTACAAAAATATGTTCTCCTTTGAGATTGAAGTGTTTTAGGTGTAGTTGGAATATGCTCAGAATCACTTTGAAGTTGAAAACTAAAACCCTTAACCCACTGGTCTCCTTGCTGAGGGTGGTCCAGTAATGATTGTCTAATCTTCTGTCTTGGAGCTTTGTTTTAGCTCGCTTGCCACACTGCCCTCTCGCTCGTCTAGAGATTGGGCATCAGGCACAGAAGCTAAACTCAGACTTGGCTAGTCCCAGGTTTTCTCATCTTCTGTCTCGCCCAGCCTCTGAAAGCTGTGATCCTTCTTCTGGCTGACAAGGGTGTGGACAGTCCATTAGAGGAACTATTAGCCTGATGGAAATAAATGCAGAATGGGATATGGGACACATTTGTAATGTTTTATTTTCAAACGAATAATAGACTTTTGCACAAACTGATGGTTTATAGGTGACTGCTCATGTTTATATAGGTGCATTTGTGTGCCAACCCAGTGAAGATCTAGGATACTGCAAAGAAGGCGTAGTCCTGAAGTTTGTGAAATATCACAACTGCCATTTTGCTTTATAGATAAGCAATTTACATCTGTGATAATAAGATTAATATGAATGATATGCACTGTAAACATACACTTTTGAAAATTTATTCCTTGCATACATTTGATCATATTGAAACAAAAACATGCTCTGTTCATCCCAGCAATTTCAAGTGACCATAAATACTGGGACACATTCACTCTAGATAAACCTCGTAATGTAAAAGTCTGTATTTGGTTGCATGTGTCTTTGAGGCAATAACCGCTTGAAGTCTGTGAAGCAATGTGCTCACCAAGCCCTTTGTGCAATTATTTGAGAAGCTTGGCTGAATACTACAGATAAATGCTTTGGAAAGCACAGATAACAGCTTTGACATTGGTGGCCTAATCTGTTTGGAGGGCAGTGTTTGTCTCAATTCTGAAGGAGGAGGTTACTCTAGAGTCTTTGATGGCATTGGACGAATATGAGTAGGGTTAAAGTCTTTAAGAGCCAGGCTTCAGGCACCCACAGAAACGAGTTGACAAGGTCAGCAGTCCTGGTTTAGGGGTTTCCAGTACATTCTGGCGGTGTTATGCTGTCCCAGGAAGTGAAATGCTTTGTCGTGGATCAGGTAAGGTTTGCTTTCCCTGCTTTCACGCTGTAGAAAACAACATCTTCCTTAATATTTTTTCTTCTTTATTTCATGAGTGCTAATTCATTGTTGCGGGGTGCGTGTGTTAAAAGAGGCGTTTTCGTTTCACGGGTTGTCCGTGTTTTGCACACTCTGGGGCCTTCAGATCAATAGTTCTTAAGAATTTAATTTCAGCGCAATTCCAGTAACATCTCACTGTTGGATGGTTTGATGTGGTAAGGATCTCTGCAGAAAATGAGCTGAAAAATGTGGCTGCACAAAGTCTGTTCCAGAATTAACCATCATTACAGTGTACATTTGAAATAACCTCTAAATTGTGGTTAACAAGGAATAACAGACCAAGTAAACTGAACACTTGCTTTACAGTTGTCTTTGTATTTACAATTCCAATACTGTGCCTTTTACAGTGAAAAGGCAACATTATTTAGCCTTTTCCTAACAATTACACACACAGGTTGCTGACCAATGTCTTAAAAAATCTTTGCATGGAATAGTTTTGTTTTCTTTGGAAATAAAGACAAATCTCCTTATTGTGTTTGTGTGTCATTATGTAGAAGGGAGTGACATTTTATCTGTATTCATTATGTATTCACTGCCTTCAGTTTCAGTTTTGCGTTTTTGCATGAAAATATTTCAGAATTAACAGAACGGTGTATTACAGCTTACCTTTAACAGGATTGTGCCAACATTTATAGTGCCGTTTTTAATAGATGTTTGTAGCTTCCAATTGGATCTTTTAACTCTTCCTCTGAGCCCTGTGTGTTCGGCTGAATCTGAGAAGAGCTGGATGATGAGGTGTCTGTTGTAGTTGGTATATAAACTACACAAGTGATGAAAAATACAGGGAAAGTCTGGTGAAACTGAGCTGTATATGATGAATGATAATCAGTTTCTATTTAAAGTGTGGTTAGCATTTCATTTATCTGGGAGTTTTGTATAAAGACAAACTAAAATTCAGCTGAAGGCCTCAGTTTTCCCTTGGTGTGTGGGGTTTCTTGCAGTAACCACAAGGTCTGCTGGTTAGTTTCACACTTATCTCCAGGGGACTTCTGTTGGGAGTCAGGAAACCACCAGCTTGGCAGATGTTCCTCCTGTCAAATGGAACAGTTCATCAGCTGTTGAGGTACGGCGCTGAATGTGAAAGGGCTGAAACTGGGTGAATGGATTTGTGCACTTGGTGACTCTAAGCAACAGGAACTACCTGAGAACGGTTGTCATGTGCGCCTGCAGTTTCTCTGAGTGTACATAGACTTTCCCAAGTACAAGGTTTGTGTTGTATTAAATGGCAAAAATAAATATTTAGGAACATTTAAAAAACCCCAAAGACAAGTTTGCTGGGGCAAAACAATGAGTTCCAGTTTTAGGTTCATGTTATTTACGCAGACGATGCTTATTCTATTAATTTGACATTCATGCCCTTGGAATTGTGTTTTGCTGTGTGTGCTGGAATAATAGGCTCCTGTCTGTACCACCAGCAGTCAAACCATCAGTTTGGTCTTCATGAAGGCTAGCTGTATTTTTCTCTGGGAAGTGTTAATGTTAATGTAAGTGCATAACAAGTACTAAGTTCATGAACTGCATCATTCACACATGGTGCTCAAAATAAAAATGGATTTAGCGGATTGTTTTGTTCTTACTTAAAATAAAAAGCAGTACACAGTTATCAGCAGTTTGATTATGTGGTACTTGGGAATGAAAACGAGATTTTAATTTTCAGCCACGTTTATTATTCCGATTCCCCATCATGTGCATCAAATTTGCAATTTAAGATCCCATTTTCCTCATCCTCTCCAATATCCTCTGTGCTGGATCATGCCATCAGGTGGGCTGTTCTGTCTCGGTGTCCCTGGTGACGGTGCAGAGGCAGCCGAGGCGTGACCGGGCGCTGTGCTTCAGCTGTGGGAATCGGGTCGGGAGTCCAGTGACTGGGAACGCTGGGTCGTGAGAGGCAGAGACGCAAGGCCGTTTTCTGTTTCGGATAACATAAAAGCCGCAACGCGAGGAGCTGCTGTGGCCAGCTATCGCC